ATTTTTTCGTCATGGGTGTCATTTTCATAGTTTTTGAGTATTTTGAAACCGATAGTGCTGTTGAAATGTAAATCCAAGATGGCGGCTGCAATAGGTATCAATTTTTTCGTCATGGGTGTCATTTTCATAGTTTTTGAGTATGTTGAATCCGATAGTGCTGTTGAAATGTAAATCCAAGATGGCGGCTGCAATAGGTATCAATTTTTTCGTCATGGGTGTCATTTTCATAGTTTTTGAGTATGTTGAATCCGATAGTGCTGTTGAAATGTAAATCCAAGATGGCGGCTGCAATAGGTATCAATTTTTTCGTCATGGGTGTCATTTTCATAGTTTTTGAGTATTTTGAAGCCGATAGTGCTGTTGAAATATAAATCCAAGATGGCGGCTGCAATAGGTATCAATTTTTTCGTCATGGGTGTCATTTTCATAATTTTTGAGTATGTTGAAGCCGATAGTGCTGTTGAAATGTAAATCCAAGATGGCGGCTGCAATAGGTATCAATTTTTTCGTCATGGGTGTCATTTTCATAGTTTTTGAGTATGTTGAAACCGATAGTGCTGTTGAAATGTAAATCCAAGATGACAGCTGCAATAGGTATGAATTTTTTCGTCATGGGTGTCATTTTCATAGTTTTTGAGTATGTTGAAACCGATAGTGCTGTTGAAATGTAAATCCAAGATGACAGCTGCAATAGGTATTAATTTTTTCGTCATGGGTGTCATTTTCATGGTTTTTGAGGGTGTAGAAACCGATATTTCGTTGTTGCTTTAAAAAAGAACACATAAACTGCAAAGTAGCTGATCTAATTTACGATTAAAAAATATAAACAAACTCGGTTTCATAGTACCCGTTCCTTTTTTCCCAACAGTTTATTTAAAAAAAACCTGTTCATCAGAATGGTATTTTTTTACACAGTTAAATTCAATAATAAAGAATTCCGAACTTGTAGCAGACGAAAATATTTTTCTGTAAATAATTTGTAATAATCTATACAAATAAATAAAATTGAAGTGTCTGTGTGAAATTAAAGTTTTTTACTAATTGATTATGAAAGTAAATACGGTACTTATAACTAAATAACAATTTTTAAAATTTTTGTCTGTCTGTCCGTCTGTTTGTTCCGGCTAATCTCCGAAACGGCTGGACCGATTTTGCACTTTCACTGGCAGATAGCTGATGTCATAAGGAGTAACTTAGACTACTTTTATTTTAGAAAAAGAATTAGGGTTCCGCGCTAAAAAATAAAAATCCTAACATGCGAGCGAAGTCGCAGGGAACAACTAGTGAAAAATAAAGGTACGTTTTCGTCCAACTGCGGCTCGCGTACGTTCCCGCCGAAACTTGTAAAAGGTTACGCCGTAATGACAAAGTTAAAGTTCTACAAGTTGTTGTGTGTTAATTATTGTTATATGTAATATTAAAATGTTTTCCGTGTTTAAACTATCGTTTTTTGCTGAGAGTACCTATTTAAATTGCATTTGTAAGCTAGTTATTTAAATTCGATTGATTGATCACTACAGATCAAAAATATAAAAAAGCAATATCAAAACATTAAAAGTTACAACCCTATTGCTTCAATGGAGCGTAGGTAATTATATCCTCAACTAGGCTTAGTTTCCATACTGTTCATATTTATACTGTGGTAAGGGGGAATAGCTTAGAGCACATATTAAATAATGGTACTACGTACTTAGAGTATATTACATAAGTTTGCTATGCTCAGTATACTCTAAGGGAAATAGAGAATGAATCTGTGCATGCGCACACACTCGTGCACAAAAATCCTGCCGTAGTGTTAGTTGAGACTTTATGACTGGCCGCCGTAATCTAAATTCGGTCTAAAGTTCAGTATCTGTTATCCTTTTACAAACTAACATATTATCATAAGTAAAATAAAACGTATGCCATTAGTTTTAGTAGAACCTAAAACCCCTAACCTACGAAATTGTCGTTTAATCAAAGTATTTTTTTTCATTTGAGGCTTGATTAAGTTGGGAAAAAATAATTTTATCAAGGTGTCACCTATCTGAGCTAGCTGATTTCGTGGGGGCGGAGCTATTGGGTATTGGCGCGTATAGGGCCGGATGGGCTGTGCCCACTCCTGAATTGTTTCGTGCCCAGGATGTTGGATTACCAACACAAAATTTACATTTAAGACAGTGATGATTATGATGACTGAAAACATAAATAAATTTCATGCAAAACATTTAGAAATAAATAAATAATCAATACCGACGAGCACTCAACACAGTAATTCCACTTGGTCAATTTTATCGTGTACATTGGGTACTCGTATTACGTGTACGTAGGACTTTAATTAAATTTTAACTAGATATATAATATATGATATAATATCCAAAAATGCAGCGTGGTTGTACAAAATGTTATGTTTTAGTATTGAATTTGTTTTATTTAAAAACGATATTAAGAAAAATATTAAGTGGGTGTGCACTGAACCTAGAGGATCAGTCGTTTCTTTTTGTTTTCTTCTTTTACTTTTTTTTTTTTACGTATTTTCTTTAGCGTGTAGTTTCTTCTCGGCCAGTATGTTTATACCTCAAAAGTTCAAAAAATGAATTTATAGTCGTAATCGGCAACATTAGGATTCGGCTCTTCATCGGCCATCGGGTCAAGACCCGGCTTGGTAAATAACTCTACATCATAGGTATATTTACTCATAAGCAGAGGCATTACGAATATGATAAAGCTACACTAGCATTTCTTTTTAGTTTGTGAATAAAGCTTAAAAGGTACCGAGCGTACTTCGCACTGTTGATCTACGTGGTCCATACGAGTTGTTGAGATTGTGTAAATTTTTCCACGGTCACAGAGAGAGCAATAAAAGAAAACCCAACGGCGGAGTGTGAATGAAAAAAAAAATTTTTTTAAATCCAGAGTATAATATTATAACCAATTTTAAAAGCCATGGCTTACCATTACCATTATATACTATCAAAAGTCCTCTGCTAAATATAGGCCTCCACCATAGATTGTCTCATGGGGGGGGGGGGGGGGATATTTGACATAATTGCCACGCTTAGCAAGCGGGTTGGCAACCACAGTTTTTTTTTATTCATCTGTTATCAGGAAGATGCTACAGCGTTATATTATCTCCTGTTTCAGTTTCTCTCTGTCGCCATTTACGACTCCTACGGGATAATATAATTATAGTGACATATTCCTACATTGCTACTACACGGTCCTAGCCGGTTATGGCCATAGCCTAATGAATTTAGAATACCAACATGATAGATATTGATACTTATTTATTCTGTGATATTGATTCTAAGTAGCCTCTATTAGAAAAATGCAATTTCAGCGGTTCTACGAGTATTATCGCTTACGACAATAAAAAACTATAAAAATAAATGGGAATGACATATTATCTCAACATGAAATCATGTTTCATTTATTTTTATAGTTTTTTTTTAATAGCGTTAAAGATAATAGAAAGTCAGCTTGACTAACCTTGCTGGACTATGTTGCGAATAATACTTACTTAGTTGTTAGATACCTGTCGAACTCGTGGATCAGGTTTTTTATCTTAGATATCTTTTAATTATTGGGGTCTTGTGTTAGGATACTAACCAATCGAAGTATTTGTGCAAAAACACCAATTGTAGGTTTACGGGGCTGGTTTGAATGTGAGATTTTACAATATTATTGATAAAAGTTAGCTTTGAAATTTATTTTTAAAGCTTTCTCATTTTTTTCTCTGCTATATGTATATGATAATTGAGAGCTACTCACTTAGTTAATGTTATAAAATATGTTAAATTATTTAAAAAATCATTTAGCAAAAAGAGTTTTATTATATTATGAAATAATTGGTGAAACATCGTTTTAATTTTGGAACAGTTTTATTGTTTAATTAACAAACAAACATTAATTTTTATATATTAGAAGATTATTGTCAAAATATGTTAAATTGCCTAGTCAAAAGTTTATTATAAAATTACACTTTAACTATACAATCTAATTTTTTGCGAAAATACATTAAGTATGCTTCCGTTTCATCCTATCAAAAGTCCACTGCTGAACATAGGCTGAACATATATCACTATTGCTATGGCTATGGCGAATATTCTCTCAAAAGGGAATACTTATATGTAAGGGAATTTTCGCCATAGTTGCCACGCTTCAAGTGTGTTATTTAGTGTTCGCGCGTACGTTGTTAGAACGACACTGCTGCCCATCTCCTGGTTTGTTTTCCTCGCCATCTTTTACGACACCGACTGAGCAATATGAGGCAGTAGATTTTCTTACGCTACCACTACAACAACCAGGAGACAAATCGGAAAACAAACCAAGAGATGGGCAGCAGCGTCATTCTAATAACATCCATAAAATAAAAACTGCTGTTGCTGCTGACCTTTCTGCCAAGGGTGACAACTATGGTAAATATCTCCCATTTGAGGCAATTTGTTGGGAAGTCAATGTATAGCCGTGGATTTTGATAGTCAGGGATTTTTTTTTATAGGATAGAATGACACACCAGCACACAGTCCACCTGATGGGAAGTGGTTGCTGTGACCCATAGACATCTACATCTATCCTCAATAAAGAATCCGAATGCAGATTCGTTGTCAGCCGTGAGAACTAAGATGGAATGCCTCTTTTCCAGTAAAAACGGTCTCCGGTGCTCTACACTCACCATACGAAACACTGCAGTGTTAAGCTGCTATTTTACGTTGGTATTCTGTGAGAGCGTGGTCCTTCCCCGTTCGAGCCGACCCATTCGTGCTACATCTATACTACTAATATAGCAGCAGCATGGCTCCACCATGTATATAACAATGAATTAATTATACCTATAATAATTTATGACCTAAGTTATATACACACACCTCATTCCTTTTAGCATCACACCACAGTACCATAATACGTATTTTTAGAGCTGGGCTTACGTAAGTACTATATTTTTGTTTTAAAAAAAATCATCGATTTCAGGTGTTATGGGATCAAAAGGTTAGGGAATCATAACGAAGTGATTGACAACCATGCCAGTGCTACGCAACGCTGACCATCCCGCATCGCAAGCAACTGACTCCGTGGCTACGCGGTATGCGGTCGCTGTCCTTGCTTCCTGGGCGGCTGAAGCAGGTAATAAAAATTATTTAATTTTATTAACAGACTACAAAAAGGTAATGATTCTTTTTTTATTAAATAGGTTTTACCTCAAGGGTGGTCCCGTTAAATTTTTAAGAAAAATCCCGGCCCCAAGGGTGGAAAATAGGGAGAAAGTTTCATATTAGACTATTGTTTAAAGAATTTCATATGATATCTTCGCAAATTGAGAACCGATTTTAATGAATCTTCAAAGGTCTCATTTAAATTTGAAAAAAAAATTCCACCCCTAAGGTTAGCAAATAAATATCTTCTTTTTTATCAATTTGAATTCGGTTTTTACTTTTTGTTAAAAGTTATAATTATATATTTCTAAATTAGCTAGAACTTATATAATAATTTTCTTCTCTTTTTTCTTCATTTCGTAATCATACTTATAATAATTTTAATTTTAAGCTCAAGCTTAAATGTTCGTTGTTGCTACTGAGGACAAAAATTAAATACCTCTTTATTTCAAAGTAGGTACCTTGTGAACCGCAACTCAACAGCCGGTCTACGATTCAAAAGGATGTAACTAGGGTTGCCAACCGTACTATAATATATTATAGTATAGTAGGTTCTATATTTCAGTGAATTACTTATACTATATATTATAGAAAAATAATATAGTACGAAATATACTATATTTTTATCCCTAATTCAACTGTCGCGCTTTTTTATGTTAACTGTGACTGGAAGTCTGAAACAAGTAAGTTTTACGGAAAGTTTTTTTTTCGACATGATACATTCATGGAAAGAAATGGAAAGAAGAAAGACATAGAGCGTGTAGGTATTAATTTAATTAAAATGATTGTTAATTTATAAATGAATCTAAATTGCTCAGAAAAATATATAAAGATTAAAAACTGTACTTTTTTCCTGAATTTCCCGAAAGCACTATATTTTTTACATCTTTTTTGGGAAAATACTATATTTGTTCAAAAAACAGGTGGCAACCCTAGGTGTAACCCTAGTTTATCTCTTATTCCCACTGATTTGTTAATTGCAATTTTTTGTGCTGACCCATCGTACAAAACACTAAGAAAAACGAACTACAATATTTTATTTCTGTCTTTCGATTTGAACTGGAACAGCGTGACTGAATCCTAATATTTGTATTATCCTCTCGAAATATAACTTGTTTTTCTACACATCTGCAGTGAGACGGTTAAATAGTTACATGTAACGTTTTGTGCGTGGTAGAGCCATGCTGCAGCTATATTAGTAGTATAGTTGTAGCACGAATGGGTCAGCTAGACCAGGAAAGGACCACGCTCTCACAGAATACCAGCGTAAAATTGCAACTTGACACTGCTGTGTTTCGTATGGTGAGTGTAGAGAACCGGAGACATATTTTACTGGAAAAGAGGCATTCCATCTTAGTCTTCACGGGTGACGACGCATCTGAATTTTGATTCTTTATTGAGGATAAATGTAAATGTCTATGGGTCGCATTAGCCACTTGCCATCAGGTGGACTGTGTGCTCGTTTGTCACCCTATCCTATAAAAAGAAATCAAAACGAGTTAAGAAGAACCCTATCACCTTTCTTTATCAGATGATCGTTGGTATGCATTATATTCCTAAGCTTTAGCAATTTGACACCTACATTATTTAACATTGCGCTATGTAAAACGTGTATTGTTTTTTTGTTTAACAGTTACCTATCCGTTTGATTTGACCAAAACAAGACTACAGATCCAATCTGAGGTGGCCACCACGAAACATGGTTTTAAGGTAAAAAGTAGTTAAATTTGGTCTCCCATAGATTGCCCTATAGAGGGGATATTTGCCATTTTTGCCACGCTTGGCAACCGCGGTTTTTATTTTTAGTCATTATTAGAAAACGCTGAAAACGCTCATCTCCTGATTTGTTTCCCTTTGTCCATCTGTCGACATCCACGGGATGATATGGGGTAGTGGATATTCTTACACCGCTACTTCACGGCACGTTAAGTTGTATAGTATGTTTAAAATTTTGCAAGGGATGTGTCCACTATTTCATTATTCCTTAATATATGTATAAAAATCAAATACAATTCAATTCAATTTATTTATCTCTTCACAACTTACTGGCGGTTAACAATAATGATTTACATAGTAAGGACCTAGCGTTGTGAGAGACTGGTGCATATTATAGGTTTTATATTAAAAACCTGAGTTACAAGTTACCAATACTAAAAAATACATAAATATAAATTATATGTGTACATAATATCATGTATTTAGAAGAAATTCTATTTTTATTTTAGGGTATGTCTACATTTCATTCATCACATTTAAGTAAATTGTGCTGTTATCGCATATTAGAAACCTAATGCCGGGTTTACACGTTTGCCAAGCCTCGGCAAGCTTCCACAAGCACAAGCGTGTAAAGAGGGCGTTTGGCTTGGCTTGCGTGAGCTTGTGGACGCTTGTACCCGATCTGGTCTAGTGTCGGTTTTTGGACACAGATCAAAGGGTGCTTGCATCAAGCGCTTGCAAAGCATTTACGACAGACGACTCCAAGCATCTGCAACTTTATTTTTATTTTTATGATTAACGTCTTTGGGGTTCCAGATAGACGATTTGCTCTAGTAATATTCCAGAAACGATAAACTCTCTTCGTTCGACCAGTCGCTCATTTTAAACAAATAACTGAACATGCGCTCGTCGCGAAATCACAATTTCTACTAAACGCGCACCAACGTGTGAATGCGTTGCAAGCGCTTGATGCAAGCACCCTTTGATCTGTGTCCAAAACCGACACTAGACCGGATCGGGGACAAGCGTCCACAAGCTCACGCAAGCCAAACCAAACGCCCTCTTTACACACTTGTGCTTGTGGATGCTTGCCGAGAATTGGCAAGCGTGCAAACCCGGCATTACCTTATCTTTATACAAGGTTATTTTGCAATAACCGCCCAGAAAAGGTTCAGAATAAGTAATATGGGCAAATGGCGAAGAAAAATTAATTAAGAAATCTCAAACATTGTCCTTTTTATGTTTTAAATTCAATATGCGTGGTAATGCATTACTTTAATAAATTTTACTGCCCACGCATACATTCGTAAGAGTCGATCCGTAGGCAAAAACGATCCATAGATCATATTCTATTTGGGATAATTTCAAATAAATGTATAAGCCTCATTTACTCATACTTTCAAAAACTGCAATAACGGTATATCATTATTTATATTTTGAACTTAAGTTTAAAATTTGGATTCTCTTTAAAAAATAACCCTGTCTATTTTTCAGATAGAAAACCACGGCATGATAAAAACTGCCGTGGGCATTGCTAAGCAAGAAGGCGTGTTGAAGTTATGGAGCGGTCTGATGCCGATGTTCCAACGGCATGCGATATATTCAGGCTGCAGACTGATTTTCTATGAGCAGTTTCGAAACGCGTTTAAGGATGACAATGGAAAGGTCTCTTTGGGTATTGCTTCATTGGGTGAGTAATTTTTTTTTTAAATACAATTATAAAAAATATATTGTATATGAAAAATCTGTAACTGATAACAAAAACCATTTTTTTTTTATTTGAATAATAGTGACATACGAGCACATAGTCCACCTGTTGGTAAGTGGATGCTGTGGCCCATACATATTTACATATATATATATATATATATATATACTCGATTAAGAATTAAAAACTAAAAAGTTGACACCCCTGAGGATTTAGATGAAATGCGTCGTTTCCTGTCAAAAGGATCTCAGGTTATTTACGCTTGCCATACAAAACGCATCAGCATTACGCTGCTATTTTTCGCTGGTACTCTGTGAGAGCCTTGTACTTTCCGGGTCGAGCCGTGTCATTTGTGCTACAAACATAATATAGCCTCGGTATGGGCCATGAACAACAACAAAGAATACATTTGGTAGAGCCATGCGGCATGGCTCTACCAAATGTATTCTTTGTTGTTGTTCTTCTTCATTAGGTAAAAGTCAACTGCTGGACGTGGACATGGCGTCTCCCTCTGGCGGAAAGATATGCCATTTTTGCCACCCAATACGATAGTTTGCGAGTGAGACGATCAAGTGACGATAATGAATTAATAAGTTTTATACCTCAATAGTGTTTCCCAACGGCCTATCCGTTAGCCGACATAGCCCAACGGATTAGTAAGCTGAAGTGGCAGTGGGCCGGCCATATAGCTCGAAGAACCGACAACCGATGGGGAAGAAAGGTTCTCGAGTGGCAGCCTCGTACCGGTAGGCGAAGTGTAGGGCGTCCCCCCACGAGATGGAGTGACGACCTGGTAAGACATGCAGGAAGTCGATGGATGCAGGTGGCTCAGGACCGTGCTTTGTGGCATTCTTTGGGGGAGGCCTATGTTCAGCAGTGGACTTGTGAAGGGCTGTAATAAATGAATGAATGAAAAGTTTTTTATATAAAATCATTATGGCAGTGCTCTCAACACTACTAGTATTTCCATTAAGCTAAATGCTTGTAGGAGTGGTTCATGGCAGTGGTCGAATGGTGGATTCGAACCTACGACTTTTGAGTTCCGCAATTATACCGTTAAACTATTAGGCTACTGTCGTTTAAATGTGAGAGTATATGCACAGAAAGTCTCAGAAAGTAATCACCATTATTCGAGGCGAGGCGGTGCTGGAAAAATGCTGGCTTTATAAGTGAGCGACGACCACCTCTAACTGTGTTAATAATTAACACAGGTAGAGGTGGTGTCGTCGCTACAACCAACAGGTTCAGTATTCGGTAATTATTTGAATATATATCATGGTTCAATGACCACAATGTTCATTGACTCCATCGATGTTTTAAATGTATAAATAACAAATTTAAAATAATTAAAATGCAAAGAGCCTTCAACCAGTACTAGTTCATTATAGCTTATAAACCGGAACACAGTTTCATTTTGTAAATTGCAATATAAAATGCGTTAAGCGTAACAAATTACCATGAAGTTAAGTCGCTCCTAAGTGGAATAGTTTTTTAACTTACTTAAATAATTTTACTTTAACTTGCGTTATTTAACTAACTTACATCCGTAAGAGGGAACACACGAACGGGCACACAATCTTAACTCAGAAAGTGTTAAGTACAAATCTGAACGTTTAGACAATTTTATATAATTGTTTAGTTAGCAACTTTTTCATTAAAAATACTTATCTATAATATTTTTTAAGAGAAACGAGCACACAATCCACCTGATGATAAGTGGATGCTGTGGCACATAGACATCTACATTTTTATCCTCAATTAAGAATCAAAATGCAGATGCGTTGTCACCCCTGAGGACTAAGATGGAGTGCCTCGTTTCCAGTAAAAAGGGTCTCCGGTTCTCTATACTCACCATACAAAACACAGCAGTATTAAGCTGCTATTTTACGCTGGTATTCTGTGAGAGCGTGGACCATAATATAGCTGCAGCATGGCTCTACGACGTAAAAATTATATATTATGTATTTGTCTCTGTCCTTTTATCTGTGAAATTCACTGACTAGTTTATCTGTGTGTGAAATTCGCCAGCGAGCTGCGCACATTGCGTACTTACCTATATTGTAAAAATAATTAAATGTTGAAATATAATATTTAAAAATTGCTTTCGCATTTAATTTGTCTATGCAATCTTATCTGTTAAATTTGTTAGCGAGCTGAACAGGCTCTGTTGACACTATTTAGCTAGATATACTTGTAGGTATGTATCTACTATCTAGTGTAATAATCAGTCATTTACTAAGTGAATGTTGTATTCACTGTGATGAAGGCTATTCAAAATTAGCATTATATGCAGCATTGTGTGTGTGTGTGTGTGTGTGTGTGCATGCGTGCGTGCGTGCGTGCGTGCGTGCGTGTGAGTGTGTGTGCGTGCTGGTAGATTTTAAGAAATCTCAATACCTACTTAACAATAAAAATGTTTTTCGAAATAACTTTTAACACACTCGAAAAACGCCGTCGATTTCTGCAAACCGCATCATAATCGGTTGAAAAGGTGGAGAGAAATCGTTAACGAAAAATTTCGATAAAAGTATATTTTTTTTAAATAACTTTGAAATTTCTTTTAAGATCGCTTTAGATTTAATAAATTACGTTTCAATAAATACGTAAAAAACGTCACAATAGGTGGAATTTGGAGCTCTTTGCATTTGAAATTTGCGGGAAGTTCCAGGGATGGAACTCCTACTTTGAAAATTAATAATTTTCAAAAGTAGGAAGTTGATTTCGGTCCGATTTTGAGAATGCGAGTTTTCATCAGATCTCCACGTTTTGAGGTCTTGGGAAGCCGTTCCGACTATACCCGGCTAGACGTCCGGCCGCGCGCGCGCGTATGTGTGTGTGTGTGTGTGTGTGTGTGTGTGTCTGTGTGTGTGTGCGCTTGCTTTTATGTAAATTACATAAAAATAGATTTTCGAACGTTGCGCTCAAAAATAAGTGGTAAGTTCCAGGGATGGCCTGCAGGGTCAACCGTTTTAGGTTTTTTTGTCGAAAATTATCACAATCTTATCATATTATCCTAATTACTGACCTTATACTGGATGACTTAAATGAAACCTTACCACCTTTAACCATCCGGCTCTTTTCCCTTCAAACCACAATACAGTAGTAAAAATTATAGTATTTCCAAATTCTCAAAGTGCAAATGCCCAAGGCAACCTCCCACGGACTGCTACTGCTGCTACGTAGAAAAGAAGCCTTATCACTTAGTAAAGCTACCATTTTCTCCTAATTATATCAAACCCTCGCTTCAGTAGGGAATCGAGTAGACATCTACCAGAAATGCTTCTGCTGTAAATTACTTAGCCGATAACTGCTCCGGCTCAAAATTAGCCACTGCAGATGCATGTACTATTATGTATTATGTGCTGCAGGTACAATTTATTGGTAAATAACTCGAAATAATCAAAAGAAAATCGGTATGATTGTAATGTTCCACAAAGAACTATGCCGCAGCTACCTTCATGTCCACAGCATAGAAAAAATAATAGTTTTAACATACCAGCAGCCCTTACCACTTGCATGATTAAGTGATCTATGCGAGGCTCAGTGTTTAAAATCGAAGTAATACATCAGAAGAATTGGTAACGGTATGGTACTTATGTAAAATGCGATAAACGTAACAACAATCCGAAGTCCGACAGGCGGTCTGGGGGCTGGTTCGCTGGCGCAGCTGATCGCTTCACCCACCGACCTGGTGAAGGTGCAGATGCAGGCAGAGGGACGCCGAGTGCTGCAAGGCAAGACGCCGAGGTTCATCAACTGCAGGCAAGCTTATGCCGTGCTGTACTCTGAGAGTGGGCTTATGGGATTTTGGAGAGGTGAGTGATTGTAAGATTTTTTTTAAAGCTAAATATATGCTACTAATATTTTATGATGTTATCTTCTAGTAACTAAACCAAAGTTGTTGTATGATCATTGCGATAACATTGCATTGGTACTTAAAATTAAAATAAAATCAACAACACATTAAACTATTAAACTACAATTAACAAATTTGTATTTGATCTTATAATAAAAGGCTGATTCATTAAATCTTTTTTCCGTATAAGTATTTAAATATTTATGAAATAAGTAATATATTATGTCAACCCTCATGTTAAAAATAGTAATATCTACTGCGACAGCGAATGTGCAACTCGCTTTCTTGCTTACGCCATTAAGCATTTAAACAGCGTACCGTACTATACATTCAATATAGAGCAGTTACACGTCGACTATACCGTAATACTTCCCGATTATAATCACACCTTGGTGAAACCCTGCAGACGTAATTACACGATAACACCAAAAAAATTACCGGCCAAATGCGAGTCGGACTCGCGCATGAAGGGATCCGCACCATCGTAATACACGTTTCTAGTAAATGAGCCCCTTTTAATTTTTATTATGCAATAGCGGCAACAGAAGTACACATTCTTTGAAAAATTTCAACTGTCTACCTATTACGGATTATGAGATACTGCCCGCTGTCAGACAGACGGACGATGATCGAGGACGGACAGTGAAGGCTTAGTAATAGGGTCCCGTTGGATACCCTTTGGCTACGGACACCCTAAAAATCAGACAGACATAGTACAGATTCTTTTTAATAAAAATTATTATATTTAAAATTATAAGTACGCTTTTGGGATAATGTTTTCTTATATTTATTTGAATACTACGCATTGAATTAGAGTAACTTTTTTCTGATTTTTTGCGTTTTATTTTAACTTTAAAGTCGGGAATTAAAAAAAATTAAATTAAACGCGATAAAATCCGTGAAAGTTGTTTTATTAGATATTTTTTTGAAAATAATTCAGAGCATTCAAATCAGGGGCGTAACTACCGCCGTATCAGCCGTATCAATGATACGGGGCCCCCGGACTACAGAGGCCCCGAACGTATGTAAGCAAAAATTCTAAGGACTTCTATGGGACAATTTGTTGGTTTGAATTGTTTGGCTAGCTTAGTTCCTAGGAGTATTAATTGTAAGTAATAACTTACAATCGATATATAATTATTTTAATTCAGTGCGAGAGTTTATGTTCCTTTTGCGAAAAATCTTTACCCTTCATTTGGCCCCCCCGACAAATTTTGCTACAGGGCCCCTATAAGGCACCCTACTCCACTGATTCAAATCATTGTATAATGTATAAATTTTAACAGTCTATCTATTACGGATCATGAGATACTGCCCGCTGACAGACAGACGGACGGACGGACGGATACACGGACAGCGGAGGCTTAGTAATAAGGTTCCGTTGGTTACCCTTTGGGTACGAAAGCCTAAAAAGATTATTCAATAGGCAAAATAACAGCAACACTAATTAATTATCTCAATGCAACATAATAAGGCGGCCTCTCCGTTACGCTACGTTCTTTGCTTGCACTAGAAGAATTACCACGACGGACAGAATCATGACATAGATTAACATTATCGAGCACGTCGTCTTATACTACACAAACGAGTGAGGGTTTTGAGATTTAGCTCACTTTATTTGTCTTCTTTGCATTGAGTTATATGTACTACGTACTAGAGAAGCCATTCCGAACATTGACTATGTTCAACTGAACTGTAGTGCCTTCCATACAAACTAAATATTGCGTAAATTGAAGATTTGTGCACTCCATAAAATAATTATTATTAAATTTTATTTAGAAATATGTTTGTTTAGATTAAATTAAGATATTTTATATTAAATTCTTATATTTATTTTATATCAAATTAAAATCTTCGGGCATGCGCGACTACTACTCCCGCGCATGCGCGAAGACATAGAGTAGGACACAATTTTTGTTTGGAATGGCTTCTCTAGTACGTAGTACATATAACTCAATGCTTCTTTGCCTCTGTCTCGTTGATCTAGTAGTAAACGCGGTTGCTGATCATGATGTCTCGGATTATTGGGATTTATTGTCAAGAAATTCTCAATAGCAGCCCGGAATAAGGAAGTTGACGTGTTTCATCCCCGTGCCTCGAAAAACACGTGAAGCTGTTGGTTCAGCGCCTGTCCTCTCTCCGGTCGTGTCGGATTACCGTCGCATCGGACTATGAGAGTGAGGGAATAGAAAGTGCACCCTGTGTTTAAGTATACACTCAGGCACTATAATCCTGTCCTGCACAAATTATTCGCAGCTAGATTCCTTTGAAACTGGCCGCCGTGATCGAATTTCGGTCTGCAAGACATTATTATTATTATCTATCTCTTTTTATCTTTTTATTCTTTTTTCGGACAGCCTGCTCTGTTGAGAATTTGCCCTAATCGCCATGCTTCACAGGCAGATTGGCGAGCGTAGCACCAGATGTCACGCACCTTTGACGCAGTTTCCCGTACGAGATGATAGTACCACCATCTATCAGAAGCCATGAGATCTTTCTGGGGTTTCCTACGTAGTCGTCTTTAACGTCACCCATAGGACAAAATGGAGTAATGGATTCTCGTAATCCGCCACCGCACGGCGTCTATTGTATCACCTTTCGATCGTGAAGATATTCGTCATTTTTTTTAATGTTTATAAAATTGAAGTGAGACGAACTAACCTCTATCTCCGACTTATATATTGTTACTATTAGTATAAAATTGAACTCCATAAACAAAATTGGATTATTTGTGTCTCAGGTGTAATACCGAACGTACAGCGGGCAGCGTTGGTTAACATGGGCGATCTGGCCGCTTACGACTACAGCAAGCAGTTCCTCATGTATGAGCTGGGCATGGCCGACACGACGGCGGTTCACGCCGCGGCGGCGTTCTCCGCGGGCTTCGTAGCCGCCGTCATGGGCACGCCAGCCGATGTGCTCAAGACGCGTCTCATGAACCAGCCCGTTGGTTCGGACGGAAGGTATCACTCGAAATTTCTATGATATTATTTACCAACGTTACACAAAAAAAATAGGTACTTATATGCGAAGATATTCGATAAGATGTAAAATTGCATTTAACAAAAAATATTTTGTCACTATCAGTTCCATGCAAAAAATTCCAAGTAGACTAGCAACAAGATAAGCTAAATAAAGCATACTTTTAACATTATGTGAGTTGATAACATGTTGGGTGCAAAAAACCTGATTTTGAATGATGGCATTATTTAAACATACGAGTATATGTACTATTATTTATTCTGTGCCTATACAACTGCAATGGGGTATAAAACAAGGTGATGTTATGTCCTCGGTAGTCTTAAACGTTGCTCTAGAAGACGCTTTCAAGCTACTGAACGGTGGAAAGGATACGATATTCAGTGTCGGTTTTACCTCTATCAGCGTACTGGCACAGAATAAATAATAGTACTACGTAGTACTGGGCGAGCCCCCCACCTGCTATCCTTATCCATGCGAAAAAAATCAAGGGCAATAATTAAATGTTTGAATAATAATAATAATAAATACTTTATTACGTACAAAAGCTGCAGTATATTTGTAAAAACTATACATAAAGAAAACCTAAAGTATAATTTCAATGAAATCTGTAACAAATTAAAAGAGTCCCATTTTTAGGGTTCCGTAGTCCAATGACAAAAACGGCACTCTTTAACTCTGATTTCTTCCTGTTCGTTCGTTCGTATTTCTCAGACAATTTTGGTAATGGTGTAGTGAAATTGGGAATAAAACTGCTTTTTATAAGGACTGAGAAATGGGGTCTTTAGGGCAAGAAATTGTCCGTCGCGCTGCCCCAAAGTAGTTATGTTGGCGGGCTTTTACGTCTTCCTCACGAGTTTTCCTTTACTGCCGTAAATTAAAATTGAAATAGTTATTGGTACTAGTGTGGACGAAAAATATCGTGATAAAACCGGCATGTATGCGAAATAAGAAAATAAAATATTTCGAAGAAATGTGAAGTTCGCCAACACGAATTGGAGCATTTGGAGCAGACCGACGGACACTTCCTTGCCCAAAAACCCTCTTAGAAATGAAAAGAGGCCTGTGCCCAGAAGTGATACGTATATAGGTTTTAACTTTCTAGCGGGGATCGAACCCAGGTTATTTGCGTACTGTGTGTGAAATTTAAATCGAGCGCTTAGCTCTTGAGCTCCCACGGCTCATTTAAAAATGAATACTCGTACACCAGGCGGCATAATGTACTGAAATAGCTATATAATTATAACGCTTGTAAAAAGCATCGTAATTCGTAGCTATTAGCGATAAACACATAAAAATATGGTATTGTCTAGTATCTACTTACCATTAGACCCTTATGGACCATTACAATAAATGGAAAATCGATAACTACATATGGCGTCACTTCGATGTTTTGATGCATTATTTGTTAGTCTACGAGCCATAAGTACGGAGCGCGGTCGAGGTCAATAAACCAGGTCAAAGTCGTACTTTGCGCAGGCTTATTGAGAATTATCCTTTTCCTTTCGTTCTTTTTTTTAAATTAACGGTGTTATGTCCGTTGCGCTATACATTTAAGGACAAACTGATATTTTAATATAATAAATTAAAAAAAACATATAAATATTCGACCACGGCGCCACCTATCGGACCAAGTAAAACATACCTACTGTTTAAAATAAATTGTATACTCGTATATACTTGTTTGAGCGACATCTACCGTTACTATTTGGAACGGCTGTGTTAAAACTTAAAACGTTCAGATTATTATTTGCTTGAACCTACAATTATTCTACTTAGCGTACGTATAGTACATACATAGATGGCATAAATATAAAAACATAATTGGATACGATTCCTAAAACAAGGGCTGATCGAGCAATTCTACTTGGCCTTCAGGCCTAAGCTCAAGATTAGAGATGTTTAAAGTTACCAACCTTCAGTTAGAGGCACAGGCAATGAATGAACGCATGTACCTGAGACGCTATAAAATAAAACAACTTTTCTAAAATATTTATTTAAAATTTTTGTTATTTACATAGGCTGCACTAAAAGTATCGGGAATGGAATATTTCCACTGTTCCTGTCATATTAAAATCTTTTTAATTGTAAACTCCTTGGTTTTAAAATCGAATACCATTTATTTCTTTAAAAAAAGATTCTCGGTCTTGTCACAAGGTTTTGTCAAACTTGTTTAGTCGTTGAGAAAATGGAATTGACTCGAGAAAATTCAAGAGCGATGATTTATTATGACTTTCGAAGTGGTTTAACACAAAAACAGTGTGTTGACCGGATGATTTCTGCATTTGGTGATGATCCCCGTCAAGGTCGTCCAAAAACTGCAGTCACCCAAGAAAACGTTGATGCTGTGTGTAAGCTGATTGAGGAAGATCGACATGTGACATACCGCGAAATTCAAGCAACTTTAGACATTGGCATGAGTCAAATACAAATAATCTTACATGAACAATTAAGTGTAAAAAAGTTGTTTTCCCGATGGATACCGCATTCGCTCTGTGAAGAGCAAAAAGCGGCTCGCGTTACTTGCTGCGTCGGAACTCTCGAAAGATTCCACGCAGGATCCTCAAATGCTGTATACAACATCGTATCTGGTGACGAATCCTGGATATACGCGTACGAAGCCGAAACAAAAAACCAGTCATGAGTTTGGGTGTTCGAAAATGAGTTAAAGCCAACAAAAATTGTTCGTTCACGGAGTGTTGCAAAAAAAATGGTGGCCACGTTTGTCTCCAAAACCGGCCATGTTACGACTATACCTCTTGAGGGACAAAGAATGGTTAATACTAGCATTTGTTTGCCACAGGTCGTTTCTGAACTCCGTAAAGAGAACTGCAACCGCCGCATCATCCTCCATTACGACAATGCGAGTTCTCACACCGCACACAGAACAAAAGAGTTTTTAGAGCAAGAAAACATAGAATTATTAGACCATCCGCCGTACAGCCCCGACCTAAGCCCTAATGATTTCTATACTTTCCCTAAAATAAAGAATAAATTGCGTGGACAGAGATTTTCATCACCTGAAGAAGCTGTGGACGCCTACAAAACGGCCATTTTGGAGACCCCAACTTCCGAATGGAATGGTTGTTTCAATGATTGGTTCCAGCGTATGGAAAAATGTGTCAAATTTCGCGGAGAATACTTCGAAAAGCAATAAATACATTTTTAAATAGTAATGTTGTGTCACTTCCTTGATTCCCGAAATTTTCAGTGCCGCCCTCGTACTCCACAAAATTAAATCTAGTTTGATTTCTCTAGCGTACTTAGTAAGTACTCCGAAAAAATATTATCGGTAAGTACTACTTACCGATAACATTGGCCTTACCCAATGGATCATGTAAAAATACGTGCAGTATTCCAGTAGTACCTACTCTCGTAGTAGCATTAGTAGTATTCTAGTAATACTCTCGTGGTACTATCAGTAGTACTCGAGTAGTACTCCAGTCCAGTACTACAGTACCAGCAGAAATATATTTATTGTTATTATTTATAATATACTAGCTGACCAGGCAAACGTTGTTCTGCCCTTTCCGAACGACCGTTGCTTTCCCAAAAAAAAACTCCTGAAATTAGCAATAAAAAGAATTGAGGGTCACTTATCGAGATAAATACTATCCTATCTCTCAAGTTGGGCCAAACTGCACACAGTGTGCAAAATTTCATTGCAATCGGTTTATAGTAGTTTAGGAGTTCATCGCGGACAAACAATGTGACACGTAATTTTTATATATAAAGATTATTCCGTGGTAAAGGCGCATGTCTGCAATTCGTTCGTGTACTCAGTCACGGTATTCCTATATACTTTGTATAATTACTGTTCCACCTGATTGTAAGAGGTAAATGATGACATAGCCGAACATGTTAAAGCACACACGTGTACGAGTGTGTAAAAAGTTCGTAGTACTCATTGCTTCTCGATAACTCGTATTTTAAATGTAAGATTAAGAACATAAGACTTCATGTAACCACAGAATAAATATGATGTAACTCGATTTTAATTTAAAACACTATTAATATTGTTTGTGCGCTATGTACTGACGGCATAAGAGAGTAAACTACCCCATACCATCCCGTGAATGGCGTAAGAGGCGACAGAGAGAAAATAAAACAGTAGTTAAGCAGTGGCATATTTCTGATAATCCGTCTGCCAAACGTGGCAACTATGGCAAATATTCCCCCTATGGACCTTTGTCAGTAGTGGAATTTGAAAGGCTGTAATAAATAATAATGTTGATAATGATATTATGTAGGTATTGACTTGCTTGTCAAAATTTTATATTGTTAAAAGTTAAAACCACACGAACATGGTCTGCAAATATTATAAAATAAAATCAATCAATACATTCGCTAACCGCCAATGTAAACACGTAGCAGTTGTTATCCACAGATTACGCAGTAGCAACTAGTGTGTTTAAATTATAATTTTCTTTTCTTATTTGATAACCTGACTTTTTTTTCAGAGGAACATTATATCGTGGAATGATCGACTGTCTACAACAATCGGTGAAGAACGAAGGCATTTTGTCGCTTTACAAAGGCTTTCTGCCACTCTGGATGAGATTAGGTCCGTGGGCGTTAATTAATTGGATTGCGTTCGAAAACATCATGCTTGCTGTTGGTGGACACAGTTTTTAAAAAAGGAATAGTTGAAAGGATTCATATGATGGTAATAACGGCACTAACTGTGCTACTAACTGTAACTAATTTTTCTTAAAGATAAATAGTATGAAATGAATTTAGGTAGTCTTTATTAAATTGAAAGATTTATTATTTATTTATTTTTATTTATCTTCACGCACAATCCCTGACGGGGTAGCCAGAGAGAACAGATCGCCAAGTGTCACGATCCTTACAAACCTCTTTCGCTTCTTTCAGATTCATTATCTTCTTCATGCATGCACGTCTAGGTATCCGAGTACTCTTGACCCTACCCTTTTCGAGCAATTTGCTCACATGGTCTTCGAAAGTTAGTCTCGGTCTACCTCGACACCTTTTAATATTAACTTTCGCGCTATATATTTTCTTCACCATTCGGTCTTCACTCATACGCTCAACGTGCCCAAACCACCGAAGCACGCCCTTATCAATTTTTGTGATAAGGTCATCTTTCAAACCTGCCATATTGCGAATCTCTTCGTTTCGCTTTCGGTCGGCCATGGTAACGCCGCACATTTTACGAAGAGATCGCATCTCCACTGCATTCAACTTACTTTTATGCTTCTTCTGGCATACCCAGGTTTCGCTGCCATATAACAAAGTCGGTACCAACACTGCGTTATGTATTGCAAGGCGTGCACTCTTCGCTACGCCTTGCCTTTTGACTAACGCAGTCAGGGCACCATTGACTTTGTTCCCGGCAGCGACACGCTTGTCCACATCTAAATCACATCTTCCATCCCGGCTAAAAGCACTCCCCAAGTATACAATTTCATTTACCTGTTCTAGACATTCCTGATTTACCCATATTTCACACTTCGTTCTCTCTTCGTCCCTTTCAAATACCAGAACCTTAGTTTTATTAGCATTCAAACGGAGACCTTTAATTTCACATTCCTCTTTCATACACGTGACTAATGCCTGCAGTTCTGCCTCTGATGGTGCAATAAGCACTGCATCATCAGCATACAGCAGACAATTTACTTTTATGTCACCCAATTTCACACCCAAACAGCTATCTTTCAGCTTCTGTAAACAGCTGTCGAGATACAGTATGAACAGCCAGGAAGACATGACACAACCCTGCTTTACGCCCGTTTGGACGTTAAACATGGGTGACAGGTCATGTCCTACCCGCACACAGGCTTTACAGTCACAGTAAAGAGACTGTACAGCCCTTAGCAATCGACCATCCACACCATACCCCGGCAACAGTTCCCACATTTTCTTCCTTACAACCTTATCAAATGCTTTCTCAAGATCCACAAAAGCACAGAAAATCTTCTGGTTAACAGCCAGAAGCTTTTCCGTGATCATGCGGAGAGAAAACATTTGATCCGTGCATCCTCTTCCAGGTCTAAATCCGCATTGTGCCTCCCATAGAAATCTTTCCGATTTCTCTTGCATCCTACGTGTCAAAACCTTCGAGTAAACTTTACTTGCTAAACTGGTCAAGCTGATCGCCCGATAGGACCCGCAGTCAAAATGTGAACCTTTACCTTTATATAAAGGCACAATGACTGCGGATCGCCAATCATCCGGGACATCCCCCGTCCGCCAGCACAAATTGCACAGCAGATGAAAGCTGTCCCAGACACGAGGCCCACCATACTTGACCATTTCAGCAGTAACTCTGTCTAGTCCCGCAGCTTTACCACATTTCAAACTTCGAATCGCACGTTCAATCTCTTTCATACTGATGACCTCAGTGTCATCGAGGTCCGGGTCTGGCGTACCAGTCACGGCGTCATCCCCGGATCCCTCACTAAGATCATCACACGCATACATTTCTCTATAAAATTCGCTCCATCGCTGCATGACGTCCGATTTTTCTGAGAGGACGTCATTAGTTCTCGAAAGCACTTTGTTCATTCTCAAGGCCGTCGCACCACTTCGGGTCCTTCCAACCCCTTTCCAGAAGAGTTTGGAGTTCTCCTTAAAGTTGTGCGACAACCTTTCGTCTGCTTCCATTCTACACCTTTCACGCACTTCTTCAATCAGTGCTTTCGTGTGAACTTTCTGCAGCCTATATCTTTCTTTCATCTTCTCTCTCATATCCTTATCATTACTAGAGGCCAAGTAGTCTAACCATGCTTTCTTCTTCTTCTTTACAGCTTCTTTCACTTCATCATTCCACCATGCATCTCTTCTTTTACTACTGCCTCTTTTTATTGTTCCACACACTTCTTCCGCTGCACTTACCATTTTATCCCTAAGGTTCTGCCATGTTATTTCTACACATTCGTTTCTGCCATCGATGGTATCAAGCTTTTCGGCTACCCTCGCATGATATTTGTCCCTAGTATCCGCTTCCTGAAGCTTCCAGCTTCGGATGCGACAGACCGACTGTGGTTCTGTTACTGCCGTCCGGTATCGCCAACCCGCGAACAGACCCCTAAATCTAGTAATCACTAGATAGTGATCCGTTCCCAGGTCAGCACCCCTGAACACTCGCGTATCCATCACCTGTTTTCACAGTCGGTTATCCACCAGGAACAAATCGATCATACTTCTCTCATTCTTTCGTTCTCTAGTATACATATGGATTTTCTTGTGATTAAACATAGTGTTTGTCACAAGAAGACCTTTTTCCTTGCACACCGCCAGTATAAGCTTGCCAGCATCATTAACCCTTTTATCGCCAAACTTTCCAAGTACCGACTCGTACCCTGGTCGAGCGGTACCAACCCATCCATTCAAATCACCACATACAACAATTCTTTCGTTTCCCCTAGCCAAATCTAGAACTTCTCTTACATTCTCCCAAAACTCCTCCAGCTCAGCCCTGGACGACGAAGCTACCGGTGCATAAACAGCCAAAAGGAATAACTTCGTCAGTCCCAATTTAAAGCGAACCCAGAGAAGTCTTGAGTTCACAACCTTATATTCAGTCATAACATCGACCAACCGAGAAGACAGCAGCACCCCCACTCCCTGGCAGGCGTTCTCGCTCTCCGGGACTCCGGACCATAGAGCTAACGCCCCGCCAGTGAGCTCTTCAGTACCACTGCCCTTCCGTTTGGTCTCCGACATACACACGACATCTAATTCTCTTTCTTTCATTATTTCGATCAACTCATTCGTCTTATCTCGCATGCCTCCTCTAACATTCCACGTGCCAACTCTGCACTCTGTCCTCCACCTTCCGCCGTGTCGGGCTGTGCGTGACGGGTGGCGGTCCCCATCGCCGCTTTGCGCGCTGCATTCCACACCAACGGGGACGAATTGCAGCCCTGAAAAGGGCTGGCAGGGGTCGCGACGAGCACGCTTCTACAATGATGAAATTGAAAGATAACGGTCTTAAATGTAAAAAAACTTAATGTTATTACTGTTATGCGAAACAGCAGGTCTGTATTTCTATAAAATGTTGAAACCAAAGATTAGATCAAAAACGACTATAACGACTAAAATAAAAAACCTGCGGTTGCCAATCCAACTGTCAAGCGTGGCAACTATGGCAAATATTATGAGGCAATCTCTGGGGGAGGCTTATGTTCAGCAGTAGACTTTAATAGGCTGTAACGGTAACGGGGTATAGTCATAGTGACTATATAATTATATTAGTTTAATGTAGGTTTTAGAAAAAAAAGACAAAAAGGTGTGATGTGACAGTTTTGATGTAAGTAGACAATCATCAATAATATATTTAGTAAAAGTTATTGCGTTATAATAATATTGTTTGTTAAATTAAAATGAATAATATTATTATTGAACCACAAATAATTAGGCAGATGTGTTTGTCAGTCATAAAATGTAGCAAAAGTTATATTTTTATTATTTTTTTTTTAATTTGTGTTTAAAACATTGATATAGGGGAAAGACGTAAAACAATTATAGAAATATATAATGTGTTCCTACTTTATTGAAAGTAGGGATGTATGTTTACATAAATGTTAATTTTAAAAGAGAAAATGTAATATAATATGGTGACTACGCAAAACATTGTTAAAATAAAAACTTATTTGTATTTCTTATATTTTCTTTAGACAGTTAAATATTTTTTAGTGTTTATATTATGCACTATTCTTTTATTTTATTTTAATATATAATATTTTTGGGAAAACGACAATAAAATGTATCGAGGATCATAAAACGCTTTTTTTTATTAAAGCAGTGTCCGCAGAAGGGACCAAGTATGATTTAAAGCAAGTTAATATAATAATAAGCACATAATTTGTTATATTAATATAAGTATAATAAAATTATATAAGTATAAATATCACATCGCATGCTTCTTTAAAGTTTGGAGGGATTGTAGGCAATATTATTTAACTTCATGAAGTTTATCTTGGATTATGTTTTTGGAAATGTAGTACTTAGGTACTTGCGTTATAATTATAATGCACAAATTTAAATATGATAAAAGCACAACATAATATGTTAATTTACTTTATAACTTTTAATTTATTACATCAATTTTACATGATATTAAAATATATAATTTATTTGTAAGCATAAGATTGTTAGATTATTATAATATTTATTATTTACTGTTTATGGTGTTAATCATGTAGATGAATAAACTATTTGACTATTTTGGACATTTTATTTATAAACCGCTGCAGGTCTTATTAATCTGAATTGTTTTAAATTGGCAAAAAAAATAATCTCAAGATTTTATTGGTCGTGGAAATACGATATTTACACACACTATATTTTTAGTAGCTGATAACCGATTGTTTCGCTGAGCGCTCGTGTACAAGATTGTAAAAATTAGCTATGATATAACCACAATTCAACATTATTTCAATGAAAATATAATTTATAATAAACACAATAAAATACTTTGAAATAATAAAATAACCGATGGGGAAAAAAGGTTCTAGAGTGGCAGCCTCGTACCGTTAGGCGGTAGGCGAAGTGTAGGGCAACCCCCCACTAGATGGAGTGACGACCTGGTAAAACATGCAGGGAGTCGATGGATGCAGGTGGCTCAGGACCGTGCTTTGTGGCATTCCTTGAGAGAGGCCTATGTTCAG